TGATTTTCACATGTAAAGGGAGTAAACGTAAGAATCGCTTCTGTAATGTTGCAGTCAATGTTTTTCGACCATGGTTGGCAGCAGCTGTTTTGTGAGCTGTTTATTGTATCAGGTGCAACAATGTCTTGTTAATAATGTTTTGGCACAGATGGATCTTAAAATCAAATGCAATTGTGATAGAATTCAAATCAAATTGTGGTTGTGCTAACGCACAGGACGAAGGATGATGTAGGAAGATGCTGCTGTCCTGTGTGTAAGGCAGTGGTTCTTAAAGTTTTTATGCCCTGCTCCCATTTTAGAGTAAAATTTCCAGGTATTTCTGCTTCTACAAAACTCCTGGGCTGGTGTGGTTACACATGGTCTGCAGTTGTGAGGCCAGCTGGACGTACTGCAAAGTTCTCTGAAACATGTTTGGAGTTGATTTATGGAAGAAAAATGAACATTCAATTCATGGACAACAGCTCTGGTGGACATTCCTGCAGTCAGCACGACAATTACACACTCTCTCAAAACTTGTGACATCTATAGCATTGAGGTAAAACTGCACATTTTAGAGTGGCCTTTTATTGTGGCCAGACTAAGGAACACGTGCAATATTCATGTTGTTTAATTAGCATCTTGATATGCCACACCTGCGTGTGATGGATTATCTCGGCAAAGAAGTGCTCACTAACACAAATTTGTGAACAATATTTGAGAGAAAGAGTCTATTGTTTACACAGCAAAAGTCTTAGATTTTTAAATTAAGCTCATGAAAAATGTGAGCAAACACAAATTACGTTTAAATATTTGCTCGGTGTGTATATACTGTATATATATTAGGGATGGGGCCGATCCGATCCAGTATCGGCATCGGGCTCCGATAGCAGCATAATTTACGTATCGGATTTTCCGATCCAACCTGCCGATATTTATGATCCATGATGCATGTCTGTGGTTGCGCTGCACGTTGGCTTCAAACTATGGAATGGATTTCCTGAGCGTGTCTCATGAACCCAGAGTAATAAGACCCGCCTCACATTCAGGAAATCCAGTTCATAGTTTGCAGCCAGCTACAACGTGAGGACTGAGTTAGCAACACTGTGGCTAACAGCTAACAAACTTTTCATCTAAACATCCACTGTGTGGAAGTATTTTACACTAGAAACACCACATAACAATACAGCAATGTGCAATGTCTGCAAAGCCATAGCGCCACATTAAACCGCTGTAAAGTTAGTTTTATGATGGACATACGAGCTCCGGGGCTTCAGCGGTCTGTTGTTTTCGTTCAGTCCGGAGAAGACAGTCTGATTTCGGTCAGCCACGCTCAGTCTGACCCGCTCAGTTTGTCCGTGTGGTTGGAGGGACAGACCGAGCACGGCTGACCGAGATCAGACAGCTTGCTGTGGATTGAACAAGAAGAAGACATCGCTGAAGCCCCGGAGCTCGTATGTTTACAGAGAAGTTGCTAAACATCATCATGATTAATGACCAACCACTATCAGTTGTAGAAAACGAAGGATTTCACAGCTTGATACTTGCAGCAAAGATATAGTTTACCCTCCAGAGATATTTCTCAGTACAACAATAGACAATCATAAAAAACATGATTTGAAAATTACAAGAAAATTATATATATATATATATATATAAAAAAAAAAATATATATATATATAAATATATATATATATATATATATATATATATATATTAATATGAACGAAACAAAAACAGCTACATTGTAAAATGATGTAAAATACTAAAAACAGGAACATGTCTGTTGGTTTATGCCATGAACTTAACAGATGTTTAAAGCCATTTAACATTTTATTTTATTCATTCGTTTAAAAGAAACAAAACAAATTCATCAAAAAGAAAACATTGAATGAAAAGAGTGCAGAAAGAAGAAAATTCTTATATCTGGCCCTTATTTAAAAAATATGAAATAACTTTAAACTATCACTTAAATTAATCACATTAATATCCACTTTAAAGCTAGGAATAAAAATAAATATGTTTTGTCCAAAAAAAGTTCAATCTGGTCCTCTGGACAGTCAAAAAACAAGAAAACAAAAAAAAAAACAAAAAAAACAAAGCAAAAAAAATTGTAGAAACGTTTCATCTTCCATCCGAAAGACTTCCTCAGTCTGAGGTGCTGTTTTCAGCTCAGTCTCTTAAATAGCACCTCCTCAGAGTGGATCAACCAGTTTTGCTGCTGACAACCAAAACCAGCTGATCACATGCTCAAGAAGGACCATCAGCCTAACAATGGATCATTAGCACACTGATGGCTGTTTACTATTCACAGAGGGCTGAGTGATACTAGCAATCACAGCATTGTAAGAGGGGGACAGTTGAACCCACAGGCCTCCACCCCTGTTTAACGATGGACGATTTCTTTTCACAAAGATGGCCTCCTTTACTCCTCTCTCAAACCATCGTTCCTCTCTATCCAGGATGTGAACATCTTCATCCCTGAAAGAGTGACCGCTGGCCTGGAGGTGAGTGTAGACCGCAGAGTCCTGGCCTGATGATGTTGATCTTCTGTGCTGGGCCATCCTTTTGGCCAGTGGCTGTTTTGTTTCCCCGATGTAAGACTGATCACAGCCCTCCCGACACTGAACAGCATACACAACATTACTCTGTTTGTGCCGGGGGACTGGATCTTTGGGATGAACCAGTCTTTGCCGTAATGTATTTTGGGGTTTAAAAGCCACTGGGAAGTTATGTTTAGAAAATAAACGTCTCAGTTTCTCTGATACTCCCTCAACATATGGAATGACCACTGGTCTGGGTCTGGATTCCTCCTTTTCACCTGTTGGCTGACTGGAGTCCTGTTTGAGTTTCTTCTCTGCTTTCAGGAAGGCCCAGTTAGGATATCCACATTGCTCTAGAGCCTGTCTTGTGTGGGATTTCTCCTTCTGCCTGGCTCCTGAGTTAGTGGGGACGCTGTCTGCTCTGTGATACAGAGTCCTGATGACTCCTAACTTGTGCTCCAAAGGGTGATGGGAGTCAAACTGCAAATACTGGTCTGTAGTATTTGCAGACCAGTATTCGTTCAGTCAGTCGTCCTATGTACACACACACACACATACACACACATATATATATATATATATATATATATACATATATATACATACATATATACACATATATATATATATATATATATATATATATATATATATACATATATACATATATACACATATATATACATATATACATATATACACACATATATACATATATACATATATACACACATATATATATACATATATACACATATATATATACATATATATATATATATATATATATATATATATATATACACACACAGTGTTTCCCCTACCATTAAACAGGCGGGGTGCCCCACCCTGCCAACAAAACTGAGCATCCCGCCTACCAAACTGAACTTGCTTCTCCCACCCCCACCCGGCACTGACATATCACTAAAGTAGCAGCGCAAAATACAGGCTCTCTAGCTAAAAAACTCAAGGCAGCACTCACATTGCCTCTTCCCTTATGATGAACGCCCCCCGCCTCCACTCAAAAACTGCTAGTACAAGCTGCGCTCAGACATGTCTCTCCCCCCCCCCCCATCAGCAAAAATCATGGATTAGATGAGCACCCCACCATGGAAAGCTAACTAGGGGAAACACTGATTATATATATATAATGCAAGATCTTGCATTATTGCACTAGATGATGCATAAGAACAGGTAGGAACAAAAGGACTATAGTGATCTCTCTCCACATCATAAGTTGATCTTAGTTTAAAAGTCTGGCAGGAGACCATGCATTCCTTCAAGAAATGCTGGACCTTTAATTTACACGTGTGATTTTCTAGGCCACCTTGTAGCTACGTCAGTTTTCACACCTGTGACTCTAGGAGGAAAGTGCCCACCCGTCCCTTCAGTCACTCTTCCTGTCTACTTTTTTATCCCCTCATTGAATTTCCAAGTCATTTAGGAGCAGGAAGCAGGTTTTTGTACCAGGCTCTGTGTAATGTTATGTCTGCCTGCTGTCATTGGTCCTCGTAAAGCTGGGAATTACAGCAGCCTTGTCAGGGACGTATCAGGTTTAAGCTTCACCTTTCCAAGACAAATTTTTAGAGGCCTCTTGCTTTGGACTGGTCTTTGCTCAAGATTAGAGTGTTTCAGAGTGTTTTCAAAGAGAAGCTTTATGGATTCACAAAGGGCCACACCAATGTGTTCCCAATTACAATAATGTACACTTTCATTTTCAATATAATAAATAACATGAACAAAAACCATGCAACATACTGTAAGTATGTGTGTGTGTGTGCGCGCGCGTGTGTGTGTGTGTGTTGGCCTTATTACTGACTGCCAATCCTGTAGTGTGTACACATCCAAACTCTCATTGACTTCTGTTGTAAGTGAGCTCATAATTTTTTCATCATGCCATGAAACACTGTAGAAACATAGACGCTGATGTTTGAAGCCTTCTGCCATTTATGGTTCAAGATGTTTTTCAACACAACTTGGATTTGCACAAAAAGTGTGATTGAAGCTTACTTTCTGTTCTGCTTTTTATGCCTGCTTTCTGTGAGTGACGGACACAGATATGGGGTTACCATGGTGATCCTAATGAGCTACAGGTAAATGTTTTTTACATTTCTGTCAACCGTGGTTTTCTTAACACTTCTTTGTTTATACATCTAAACATTGGTACTTTGTCAGTTGAGATTGTTACAAACATCAAACTACTTTTGGGCTTTATGGAAGAAAGTTGATGGTTATTGAAGTTTCAGGCAGTAGCTACATTGACTCTCTTTAGGATTTCTATAAAAATATTCTTGTTGCCGTTACTAGTTTAAAGGAAACCCAAGCAAACTTTATTTTTGGTTGGCTGTGTGATGTAAATCAAATAATATATTTAGTAGTCATGGAAAAGGGAACAAATATGACAAACCCGTTAAAAGGTAAACTGATTTAAATAATTCAGTATATCATATTTTAAGCTGTCGGGGCAGCTTCCTGACTTACCGTTCAACATCCCAGATGCGAAGAGGGGAGAGGTTCTCACAGCATGCAGTACCAGTCACAAACGAGCTGTACACAGACAGAAAAGGAAAAAGGCAGATAAAGGACAAATGTCAAAGATATGCCATATACCTCCAACTTCTGTATTAATCATGATCACAATATCTCTGAAAGAACAAAAATATAGTGGTCCCTCATTTATCGCGGGTATTTGGGACCACGCCCACCCATGATAAGTGAAAAACCGTGACGCAAGGATACAATAATCCAAGTTCAAGTTCAGTTCAAGTTCAGTAAACTTTGTCATGACATGTGCCAGGGTGCAATCACACTCATCACCTGTTACTTCCAATCTCCCTCCATGAATAAACAATTTAAATTTAAATACTGTAACATTTTAAATAAAATATCCATACTTATCCATATATAATTTCCCTTTGGGATTAATAAAGTATTTTTGAATACAGCATGAATTGTTAATTTAAAATGTTACAGTATTTAAATTTAAATTATAGAGAAGAGAAGTGCAGCAGGACATCAAAGGATGTCACACAGCTTCAGCTCTGCAGCATGGAGCAGAAATATACTTCTTGATCAATCACACTGAAACAACTGAAAATAGAAGTTCTAAAATAATAAAAAATAACTTTTAACACATTTATTTTTTTGTGATTATGTTGATTTTTACGATGTGACATACTTTGAATTTTAAGTTGGAAGACAAAAGTCGATCGGTGCATCTGGACAGCAAAGAGTTAACTCTTCACAAAGCTGCAGCAGCACTGAGGAGACGTGTGTGTGGCAGAGAAGGGAATCAGCTGGTCGGATGCAGGAGGGAGCTTTCCCTTCCATTTGTAGGTGCACACATGGTGCAAAATCATTTAAAATAATTTATTAAAAAAAAAACAATTCAGGGCTCGTCCATCAATCAGCCAACTGTGTCATGTCCAATCTTATTTTGAAAATCTGCGATATATCGAACCGAGAAGTAGTGAGGGACTACTGTACACACACACACACACACACACACACACACACACACACACACACACA